AGAGAGAGAGAGAGAGAGAGAGAGAGAGAGAGAGAGAGAGAGAGAGAGAGAGAGAGAGAGAGACGTGAACTGGACTGAGAGTCCCGTCTTTCCTTTATTCGAGGAAAAAGGAAGAGCGAGAGAGGGGAAGGAAACGGGGGGCGCATGGGAGAGAGAGGTGGGGAGAGAGAGAGAGAGAGAGAGAGAGAGAGAGAGAGAGAGAGAGAGAGAGAGAGAGAGAGAGGAGTCTCGGTATTTTCAGAAGGGTTTCCTATCTTGATGGAGTTGTACAGGTGAAGGACACAACAGGGTCGTTTGTCCTCCTTCTTTTTATCCTTCTCTACTCTCCTGAAAAGTCGACGTGCTCAAAAGTCGCGATCGGGACAAATCGTCGTTACAAAAAAAGCCGGAAAAAAAAAATCGACGTCGTTATTACTGTCTTAAACACCATTTGTCCCAATCGCGACTTTTGAGCGAGTTTTTAAAGGTATTATGCGCCAGCACAGCATTCAGCAGGACGGCTAGCACGAACCATCCCATCAAAACAGTCCTGACAGAGGACATGTTGTCCACATGTCAAAAACACAGCAGGACGTTCATCACAGTGCGGCATCATACAGTTCTGATAGCGTCCTTGGGCACAAAAGGGACAACGTATATCTGGGTGATAGGGATGTGTACAATGAGGAAATGTTGGGCACCCTTCAGAACAGACGGCGGCAGTCGCAATAGATTGATAATGGCTATGGCATCTCCTTGGGCATCCTTGTGAACATCCACATCATCCTCACCGTAGCTGTCCTATCTGCCGAGGTGGGGACAGGTATGATGCATTCCACAGCCAAGGCGCACCGCGTCTCTGTCCCGACAGGTGTCACACGAGAGTCGATCAATAATCCAGAATAAAGTATGATTCGGCAATGCTCGCAAAAATTCATTCACGTCGAAAATGACCTGACTCATCGTCCCACCATCCCACAGTTCCCAATGGGCAGCTGCACGAATGAGTGCCATATAATGCCCGGGTCTGTGTAAAATACAGGCAGTAATATGAGGATGGTTATCGAGGTCATCGCCTGGCGTCGCATGATGCATAAGAAGGTGGCGACCGTGAAACGCTAACTGTARGACATTTACAGTAAAGCCTCCTGAGGTAGTATCGTCACACCGTGTATCGGAGCGCAAAGGCAAAAAAAACAAAACAGAAAAAGGAAAAAATATATATAATAAGAGAACGCGCCAAAAAAAGAAGAAAAGAAAAAGAGAAAAAAAGAAAAAGAGAGAAAAAAAGAACAAAAGAAAAAAAGAAAAAAAGAAAAGATATGTTGATCTGTGGGATGTGTTATTTGCTTTGTGCCATAGGATTATCTTTCTTTCCCTGTCAGGTTTGGTTTCCTCCTCCTTTTCTTTACCTCTTTGCCTTTTGGCTGCGTGCAAGTGGGTCCTTGTGACACACGGGGATGGGGGCAGCCAGCGCTCAACCTGTCATCCATGTGGCTGGCCTTGTACGTAGGAGGTGATGAACAGGTGGGGCTTTCCTTCCTGACTTTTTTTCTTTCCCTTCCTTGTTTTGCTTTTTTCCGCCTTTGCGCTCCGATTCATAGAGTGACAATATATGTGTATATCATGTGACATGCCGCACTGTGATGAACGTCCTGCCGTGTTTTTGACATGTGGACAACATGTCCTCTGTCAGGACTGTTTTGATGGGATGTTTCGTGCTAGCCGTCCTGCAGAATGCTGTGCTGGCGCAGCTCTCCTTGGGCATCCTTGTGAACATCCACATCATCCTCACCGTAGCTGTCCTATCTGCCGAGGTGGGGGCAGGTAAAGAAAAAAAGAAGAAAAGAAAAAGAGAAAAAAAGAAAAAAAGAAAAAAGAGAAAAAAAGAAAAAAAGAAAAAAGATACGTTGATCTGTGGGATGTGTTATTTGCTTTGTGATAATTGGATTATCTTTCTTT